CAACCTTGATGGCCATGGGTGTTGTCAGTAGAATGATGTAAGGATCCTTCCAGCATGGTTCAAAAGTCACATGCCGGAACCTCCTGTCATAGACCCAGCCACCAGGGTGGTATTGATGTGGTTCTGGAGTAGGGCCTGCTTCAAAAGGGCACACAATTTAGGCCATACATGCTTGTGAGCCCATTGAGTTGCTTAAATTCTAAATAATAAATCAGTATCTTCCAATTCTGCAATAACAGAAGTTTGTAAGTTTGGTACAATTGGGGCCAAAATGCCATACATCATTTCAAATTGAGTAAGTCTCATTTGGTAAGGAGAATTCCTTACTCTATAGAGGGTGAAAGGGAAGAGAGCCACCCAGTCCCCACCAATCTCGAAGGTTAATGTAGTTAAGGTCTCCATTAGTGTTCTATTCATTCTTTTTACCTGTCCTGAACTCTGGGGCCTGTATGCACAAGCAATTTCCAATCTGCCCCAATAAACTTTGCCACATCCTGACTTACCTTAGACACAAAAGCCAGTCCATTATCTGACCCTATCGAATGGGGAAATCGTACCTGAGTAAAATGTCCTCCAGTAATTTCTTGGCTACTATCTTTGCCATCTCAGATTTAGTAGAAAATGCTCTTGTCCATCACGAGAAGGTGTCAACAAACACCAGGTGGTACTTGTAGCCAGATTTTTGGTTTTATCTCTGTGAAGTCAATTTCCCAGTAGGCCCCTGGTCTCTTACCTCTGAGTCTAGACCCTGGGCTCCTAGGGTTAGCTCCAGCATTGATCAATTGACAAGCTTTGGAATCTGAGATTATTTGGTCAATTTTGGTATGTATATCCCTGAAAGTCACCTTAGATTGTCTCATGGCATCCACCATTCTCTAGGCACCCATGTGTGTGGCCCTGTGGATCTTATTTAGAAGAACCATAGCTAAAGAACCAGGCAGAATTCACTTACTATCTGCACAGTACTACCAACCTTCCAGGAGTTGGCTCATGGGCAAGTTTCGAGCTCATTTGACTTCTGGTTGCTCCTGTAAATTGTGGTTCCCCAGGATAGGGAAGAGAGTAGCTAGTACTATGGCCTCAGTCTCTTGCAGAGCAGTGTCACAAGTGGCTTTGTCAGCCAGATAGTTTACTCATGAAACCCTGGAGGTTCCCCTCTGATGTCCAGGGCAGTGAATAATGGCCAGTCTCTTTGGTAACCATAAGACTCTTAGTAGCTGCAGAATTTATTCCTTGTCTGTAATGTCTTTTCCCACTGCTGTAAGCAGATTCCGCTCCTGGTAAATGGTCCCATGCATGTGCTGTGGCAAAACATACCTGCTGTCTGTGTAGATGTTGACTGCCAAGTCCTTACCCAAAGTTAGGGCCTTAGTTAGCGCTATGAAGTCAACCTTTTGGGGCAGAAGTTCCTGCTGGAAGAGACTGGGACTAGATTACCTCTGTCTCAATGTATGTGGCCACCACTGCTTTCCTCTGGCCCTCAAGGACAAAGCTTCTGCCATCCATGTACCAGGTGTGACCCACCTGAGCCATAGGTATGTTTGTCAGGTCTGGGCTAGTGCTGTGCACCTGGGCCTGAATCTTGGTGCAATAATGTAGAGGGTGATTCAAGTTTGTATCTGGCAGGAGGGTTGCTCGATTGTCACCCTGAACATCCATAGTATGAACTGGGAAGGAACACTTGTGAGCCTCAGAGTAACAGCACATTGCTGCCCTATCCAAGAACAGCCGCTTCCTTCCTTGCTTGGCAGTCTGCCCTATAGGCAGAGCCAGAACCTGCTGACTTGGAATGCAAACCAAGTACTAAGCTAGCCCTCTCTCTCTCTTTCACTCTCTCTGTCTCTCTCTCCCTCTCTCTCTCTCAGTTTTTAGAGGCAGGTTTTCTCTGTGTAGCCTTACCTGTCCTGAGCTCACTTTGTAAGCCAGGCTGGCCTTGAACTCACATAGATGCACCTGCCTCCATCTGCCTCCCTGAGTGCTGGGATCACAGGAGTGTGCCACCAACCCCAGTGCCTTCTCCTTTTTTATTCACTTCAGAAGTCTGACCATGGAAGTACATAGCCCACTTCTAGTGGCTGTCTTTCTTCCTCTTCCTCTTCTTCCTCCTCCTCTTTTTCTTCTTTATTTTCCTTTTTGGCTTTTTCGAGACAGGGTTTCTCTTATATAGCCTTAGCTGTCCTGGACTAACTTTGTAGACCAGGCTGGCCTCTAACTCACAGTAATCTTCCTGCCTCTGCCATCCAGTGTTTGAATTACAGGTCTGCACAACCATGCCCAGCATGAAGCAAAGATTTTACTACCAGATATCAGAAAACCTTGCCAAAATTTTAATGGATGTAAACCATCCTCCTCCCTTAGCTTTCTGAGTAGCTTCCATAGTAAGACTGACTAAGCTTGAATCTCAGCTCTTTATTCCAGAACAAATAAATGTGTAAGATGTTTGTCATACTATCCTCTTACAATGGCATTTTATGATTTTCTGTATGTAAAATTTCAGGGACACATTAGCCGCCCTTCCCCCCCAGCTCCCACTCTGATCCTAATCACAAATGAATAAAACAAAGCCAGGTGAATTGGCTCACACATTAATCCTCCCAGCAGGAAGGCTGACTCAGGAGGATACCCTTAAGTTGAAATTTTGTTTTTGTTTTTGTTTTTTGTGTTTTGTTTGTTTGTTGGGTCAGGGTTTCTGTATGTCCTGGAATCACTTTGTCAACCAGGCTGGCCTTGAATTCACACAAATCTGCCTGCCTCTGCCTCCCTAGTGCTGGGATGAATAACTTAGGTCACCACACCCAGCTTGGAATTCTAAATTAACCTTAGCTATTGAACAATGTTGTTTCAGAATACAGTTCCAAACCAAGGACAATAAGCAAATTAGACAATAGAAGAATGAAAATAAATAAATAAATAAATAAATAAATAAATAAATAAATAAATGAAATAAGCAAGCAAACAATAAAATTCAAGGTTGGGAAGTAAATCAGTAAATGGACTCATGATTTTCACCTATTCTGTTTTTGTTGTGTTTGCATTGACACAGAAAGCTTTGATTCAGTCTAGAGAATGGGAAAATCCAAGGTGGGATTAAGTGTCTGGACTCAAATATGCAATCAGGTGTCAGCTTGTGTTTTGGAGGTGGGGCTGAAATAGGGAAGGGCTGAGCAGGGTGGTATATAAAGGCTTTAGGGAGTTAGAGGAGTCATTCCTTCAGTGACCTGAAGACTGTGTTGGCAGCCTGCCTATGCTGGGATTCAGAGACCCTGTGCTCATCAGTGCTCAGAACAGGTAAGTCACTTCCCTTCTAAGGGCCCAGCCACCTGAAACAGAGGTTAGAACCAAGATGAATAGGATTGGGGGGAGGGTGATTGGTAAAGGCTTTATTTCTGGATGATATAACTTAACAAATATTTTATAATGCTTTTATTGATCATTTGGGAAGTATGCATCATGAACCCTGAGCACACTCACCTTCTTGTCTACCCAGGCCCACCCCAACCTTGTGAGCTCCCTTCCCAAAAGAAAAAAGGAAGCAAGAGAAAGAGACAGACAGAGAATTTTTATTTTGTGTGTGTGTATGTGTGTGTGTGTGTGTGTGTGTGTGTGTGTGTGTGTGTTGCCCATAAACTTTGTCAAGGATTCTCAACTTTCTGGTGACCCTTAATGAAAACTGAGTCTTTTCCCACCTGCACCCAGTTCCACAAGAGCCATCAATTGAGGAGAACCACACTTCCGAATTCTTATCACAATTTTTTTCTTTTGGTTTTTTTGTTTGTTAGTTGTGGGTTTTGAGGAGATAGTGTTTCTCTGTGCAGCCTTGGCCCTTCTGGACTCTCATTATAGAGCCAGCTGGCCTTGAACTCCCATTGATCCCCTGCCTCTGCCTCTCTGAGTGCTGGGATTAAAGGCCTGTGCCACCACACCCAGACTTTATCACAATTTTTAAGACTTTGATGTCTTTCTGGGACAGAATTTTTTATTCACTTAATCCGGTCCACAATCTTCTCTCCTCCCAGTCCTGCCCTTTATGCCTTGCTCCATGCCATTCCTCCCCTTCTTTAGAAGGAGATGCCCCTAAGGGATACCCCACCCTAAGACCTCAATTCATAGCAGGACCAAGCTTATCTTTTCCCAAGGACACCAGACAAGGCAGCCCAGCTAAGAGAAAGGAATCCAAAGGAAGGCGACAGAGTTGGAGATAGAATATACTCCCATTTTTAGGGGACCCACATAATGACCACACTGCTCATCTGCTACATATATGTAAGGGGTCTAGGCCAGCACATGCAAGCCCTTTGGTTGGTGGTTCCATCTTTGTGAGCCTCCATTGGCCCAGGTTTGTTTACTCTGTAGATCTTCTTGTGGTGTTCCTGACCCCTCTGACTCCCTCTATCCTTCCTCTCACTCTTCCACAAAACTTCCCAAGCTCTGTCTATTGTCTGGCTGTGGATCTCTGCAACTGTTTCCATCAGCTGCTGGATGAACCCTCTCCAAAGACAGTTATGCAAGGCTCCTGTCTGCAAGCATAGCAGAATATTATTAATAGTGTCAAGGTTGGATCTCTCCCACAGGGTGGGTCTCAAATTGGGACTGTCATTGGTTTGCCATACCCTTAATCTCCACTCCAACTTTATCCCTACACTTCCTGTAGGCAAGACTAATTTTGGGTTGAAGATGTTATGGCTGGGTTGGAGTCAGCTGCCCTCCACTGGAAGTCCCACCTGGCTACAGGAGTTGGCAACTGCAGGCTCCATGTCCCCCAATGTTAGGATCACAGCTAGGGTCACCCCCAGAGACCCCCCCAGGACCTCCTCTCCTGTGGGACAGGAATCAGAATTCCTGTTTCTTCAGATGAACCTACCAAAGTCACTGGCTTTGATTATAAATGCAGTTCTGTATTCATTTCACATAACTTTAAGTAATACAGGATGGAGTAACATACCATTTCTAGGATCATCTCAGTTTTTCCCAAGTATCCTTCTGACTGAAGACCTTCCAGAATGAGTGCTCAGACTCCATCCACACTCTTGAAGCTGGCAAGGCAGGCTTTGCTGAGAGATGAGACCTTGGACATGTCAGCTCTGGACAAACTGCCCATGGAGCTCTTCCCAGTACTGTTCAAGGAGGCCTTGATTGGCAGACACACTACAACTGTGAAGGCAATGGTGGCAGCCTGGCCTTTCCCCTGTCTCCCTGTGGGGGCATTGATGAAGACTGCTGACTTGGAAACATTCAAGGCAGTTCTAGCAGGAGTAGACACATGGCTGCAAAAAAAATTTCACCCCAGGTAAGCAATAAGTAAGTACTGTAGAATGGAGCCCATGGATAAGAGGGAAGAGATTATGGGTTCAGGGAGAATGGCTTCTTCATGAGAGGATCAGAGGCTCCTGATGGATCAATGGGCAGAGATGTATGGGTCTTGGAAGCTATTCTTCGATTGGCCTATGGAAGGTTAACTATGGTGAGAGATATGAGTAAATGTAGCAACACAGTTAAGTGAGCCTTCCTTGGTGTTCCCACAATCACCAGTAATGGAATTAGGGATAAACAGAGTCACTTAGTGGAAGGAAAGTAATCAGGGCTACATGTGCAGCTCAGGGAAAGCCTCTGCAGGCTGGACACTGGCTGCTGAAAAAAATACACACCTTGGCAGGGGGAAATTCTGAATTTAGAGTTGTGGAAGAAAAGCTGAGTCAGTGTTGGGTCTTGCCCATGTAGTTGACACTTCACATGTTTTCCCCACAGGAGGGGGAAACTTCAGGTTCTTGACCTGAGGAAGAAGCACCATGAATTCTGGAGCATATGGGCTGAAGCAGAGGATGGTGACTGTTCAGCAAAAACTCCAGATGAGCATCAAGTAGTGAAGGTTCTTCCCAGATATGCACTGAGGCGGCGCCTGAAGGTGGTAGCTGACCTTTGCCTCAGGTTCTCTCTTGATGAAGAACAAGCATCCTTATTGCAGTGGGCCCAGCAGAGAATGGGCTCCCTCCAGTTTTGCTGTATGAAGATGACCATCTGGGCTCTGCCTCTCTACGCTATCAAAGAGGTCTTGAATGTTTTCCATCCAGAGCACATTGAGGAATTGGAACTTAACGTGGAATGGAATGTATTCACCCTAGCCAAATTTGCTCCCTGCCTGGGTCAGATGAGAAATCTTCACAAATTCTTCCTGGCACCCATCTACAGGAATACCTTCCACATTTCCAACAGGACAAGAGACAGAGAAGAGACTCATGTCAGAAAGATTATTTCTCAGCTCTCAAAACTCAACTGTCTCCAGCATCTCTGCATGTATGGCATCAACTTTATCAAAGACCACATGACTCAGATCCTCAGGTAAGCAAGGATGGAGAGACGGGTCAGCTAACCAGATCAGACTTTTCTCTTTATGTTTAAGGATTAGTAGTTGAAGATGCCTGCCAGTCACTGGGAACAAACATTTAGGACTCACTGAATATGGAAGTTATGTCTTGTTTTCATGAATAATGAGTCATGGTGTCAAATGCCCTCTCATGAAGTGAAGGACTAAAGTGTGCTAAATAGTAGGCCTCACTCTCAAGCAGAAAATTGAATGTGAAGTGTGGTTTTGATTCAACTGGTCATATTCCAACAGGAAGCATCTTAGATAGTGATATTTGGTAAAACTGACCTTGGGGCACCTGATTCCTTATAGATTTATATAAATGACATTCCATACTCTCCCATACCATTTTCCAGAACTAACCTCCTGGTTTATCCCTAGGTGCCTGATGACCCCATTGGAAACCCTCTCTGTCACTCACTATCAAATTTCACAGTCAGACTTGAATTGCTTCTCCTGGTGTCAGAAGCTCTTTCAGCTAAAACATCTGGACATGAAAGGTGTGATCTTATTTGACTTGGATCTTATTCCTCTCCAAGTCCTTCTAGAGAATGTGGCAGACACATTGCAGTCCCTGGACTTGAAGGGTTGTAGGATGAAGGACTCTCAGCTTACTGTGCTCATACCTGTCCTCAGCAAGTGCTCCCAGCTGGCCAATGTCAGTTTCTATGACAATGACTTCTCCATGCACAACCTGAGGAACCTTTTGCAGCACACAGCCAACTGGAGCAAGATGAATGTAGAACAGTACTCTGCCCCTCTTGAGTGCTATGATGAATTGGGTTATGTCTCCATAGAGAGATTTGTCCAACTCTGTGCTGAGCAAATAGATAGGCTCAGGTCCATAAGGAAGCCCAAGAACATCTCCTTTGCTACACATATCTGCCCTAGATGTGGAGAGCGTTGTGTCTATGGCCTGGGGACCAGACTCTGTCGTTGCTGGCGGTAAATAGGGAAACCTGACTTCTGCATTTTAAGAAATGGAAGGTAGTGACACATCTTTCATCTGGAGTCACTGAACTTGTATCTTCAGACACTGCTCATATTGTTGGAAAATAAATGATGTGTGGTGACTTGAATCTCAGAGGCTGTAGGTGACACGGAGAACAACGGGACTGTGGGAACAGGGGTCTTGTGGAGTCAGAAAGACAGTTTTGTCTTTATAAATAGCTTCTCTCATGACAGGATAACCAGTGACTTTTTCCTGAACCTGGATGCTCTCCTTCTGGGGTCTTTTCAGATATTACTCTCACTTCCAGTTTCAGGGTCAGGAAGATTCCGTGACTCCATGAATGGAAAAACACCAGTATCTAATGAGTGAGGCAATGGCCCAGGTCAAATTGGCATCTATAAAATGAGAGTTTTGGTAACACTTCTTTCTTTCTTGCCCTTTGCCTACACAATAGTTACATCGCTCTTGTGTGGCTCTTCATTTATGTGTACAAAATTTTTAAACTAAAATTAGCAACATAGACACACATCTTATGAATGAGGTTTTAATGGATCACAAACAATTAATATCCAGTACACTCAAGCCACAAGGCACCTTGGACCCATCAGAGGTGACTAAAGTGAAAGAGAAGACAACACAGGACAAAGCAAACAATATTTTTAATGTTTGTTTTCCTTTTACCCTTAATTATTTTGATAGCCTGTTATAATCTAAGCTGGCCTTGAACTTCTGGTTTTTTTAGTATGGCCTCAGTGATATAACTACCATGAACTACTATATCCAGCCTTCATGCCACATGTCTATAGTTACATGTTCCTGTGGAGTCCCAAATTCTATGATTTAGACATAGTATATATAAAGGTGTCCAATAATATATAAGTCCCTCAGCTGCATAAAACATTTTCTTTACAAGAGAACTGTATTTTAAGTCTTCAGTTGTGGTTTCTGTATTAATTTCTTAAAGAAAATCTCCCTAGCCACATTTGAGGAAATGTCTCCATGAGATTGAACTGTAAGGTGTTTCCTCAATTAGTGATGAAAGGGGGAGGCCCCATCTATTGTGGGTTGTGCCATACCTGGGCTGGGCTCTGTTAGAAAGCAGGGTGAACAAACCATAAGGAGCAAGCCAGTAAGCAACACTCCTCCATGGACTCTGCATCAGCTCTGGCCTCTAGGTCCCAGCCCTGCTGAGTTCCTGTCCTGTCTTCCTCAAATGATGGACTATGGATCTGGAAGTATAAGCCAAATATACCTTTTCTTCCCCAACTTGTTTTTTGGTCATGGTGATTCATAGCAGTAATAGAAACCCTGACTAAGATCTATCTCTACTGGTTGGTTTTGTGTGTCATCTTGACACAAGCTAGTCATTAGCCAGCAAAATATCATCCATATAATGGTAAATTATAGATTGAGGAAACTCTTTACATATTATTCCTAAAGACTGTTGTAGAAAATATTGACATATGGTAGGATTATTCAACATTCCTTGTGGAAGCACTTTCCAATGATATTATGGACCGTGAAACAATGAAACAAAAGGACCATGCCTAGCTTAGGTGGGATGAACCCAAATAAATTCTTACTCATCATGGGAGAATCCCACATATAGGCGGGATTTACTGGCTTAGGTTGATATTTATCCGATTGCCCGCTACCCTTCATTGACTAACCATCCCATGCACAGAAAAGGAGAGGTTAAAGCTGATGTTTGAGCTGGGCAAGCCAAGCCCCTACCTGGGAAGAGGGAGTTACAACATGCTGGTGTCCAATGGCCAAAAGGACTTTGTGCTTGGCGTCATTAAATCTAGCCTGGCGCTGTCGAGCTAAGTGGACACATCTGGCAATTACAAGGATGAAGAGTACCAGACCAGCTAAACATGTATAAATGAAAATCCAGGATGGATCAAGAAGTTTCTTTAAATGTTTCCAGACACATGTCAGGAAGGAAGAGTCTATATCCAGTGGCTCCACAACAATTTCCTGTAACTTACTAAGATCATCAGCAAACTGAACAGATAATTGTACATACTTTGAATCCCATGGACCCTTAATAAGAGTGGAAAGTTGTTTAGCTAAGGACATGTTAGTAACAGAAAAAGGGGTAAGACAGAATTTACCATAACTTGGATGACAGGACTATTTAGTCATGCTTCTTACTACTTTAATTTCTTCAGACAACAAATCTATTTGCTGCTGCACTGTTGTAAGTGACTATTAATATTTACTAATAATTGTCTTTTAATAATTCTGCTGTTAGTACTAAACAGCTGTATACCCAAATCACCACACAGAGACTGGGTTTATTTAGTTAATCTAGAACACAATGCTGGGCAATAGCTACTCCATCCTAAACCTCCAAGGGCTTGGATGGAAAACCTGCTAGGGCTCCTAACAATTAGATTTCCCTCATTATACTTGCTTTTTGTGATAGCTTAGGTCCAATCCGTCTCTCCACATAGTTCCAAGATCTCTCCTCCAGCTCTCTCTCCTCCTCTCCTTGCCCTTTCTCCTCCCACTCATTTCCTCTCCCTGGCTCCTCCCCTCTTTCCTGTCCTCTGGCTCCTCCCCACTCAACATTGTGTCTAGTTGTTTTATTTTGTCTTGTTTACACAAGAGTTGAGACAGGATGCTTAGAATGAGTATCACAATGAAATATCCGGATTGAAACCAGAGAATATGTGTGGGAGGAATCAGCATTTGAATGAACAAGGGTAAGGTGTATACATTTTAAAAGAACATTATACCAACACTGCACCAAAATGGCCTGATGAAAATCATTAACAAGCAATTGAGTTTGATAAGCATTAGCTGTAGTATTAACTAACTGATTTAATGCTGCAGCAGTAATGGTATTCTGAGAAAGAGCCATTGCAGCTGTAACTCCTGCGAGGGTGGCTAGAATCACTGCTGTAACAGCCACAGTAATACCAAAATCCCTTTTAAATCTAGTAACAGTCATAAGTCCAACTCTATAATAATGATCTGGGGAAACAACTGGTACCCACAAGCTAGCAGGTGTCCTAACAACTCCTGTAAAAGGGAAAGTGATATTCCAACAGGAGGAAATTCTGCAAGAGGCTATAGAACTGTTGGGAGTAGTGCCTCTGGCAGCTGCTTTGATATTTAAATCTCAGCGGAGAGACTGCTTTTACCAGGCCTTTACTAAGTCAGGGTAGAATTTGCAAATCCATCTCCTTTTGTTTGTGACAGCAGGAGAGATAGCTTGTGAGGATCAAACCTCTTCCTCAGGCTTCTCATGGAAATTAACCCATTGTTCTGAGATGTTTCTACTCTGGCTTAAAAACTCTACAATAAAAAGGCCAACAGTTACTGCTAGGGGCTGACAGTTGCTGCTAAGTGGCTGCTAAGGCCACTAGTTTTTGCTGCAGAGGCTAAGGTGGCTTTTTGCTGTAGCTGTCGAGTCCGGACCTTCTTAAAAAGCCTCCTATGTGCTGTGTGTTATTTTATTAATTTTAATCCTCACTCCTGACTCAAGAACCATTTGACTCTGCTGGCTGGCTCCGGCAAAGAACAATTAATTTCTGCAGATTCCAACGGACTATTGATTAGTAAAAAGAAAAAAAGGTGGTTTTAAACAACATTAGCAGGAGAAAGAGTAAGGTTAACATTTGAACTTACTGATAAAGGTTTGCCTGTAATAGCATTAAAACGCCGCATTGTACCATTTTCTACAATGGGTGTCTTCAAAAAGCAGAGAGATCTAGTATCCATACAACTAAACTCTCCACATTAGTGATATGGATACATTACCCATGGATACTTCACAGGTATACCGTTAGCATCAGCCACAGGGTCAGTGTGCTGTCTGACCCATAATCCTGCTTTATTCAGTGCCTGCAAGGGCTGATGAGGAGATAAACAATGAACCCAGGGTAAAGGAAGACCTACAGAGGTAGGATAAATACTCCCTTCAGGGCAACTAGGTAACTCTACTAAGGCAGGCTGATCAGTTAAATTAGAATTGCTAATGGCAACTCGAAGGTCAGTAAATATTAATTCATTTCCTAAATCTGGAAATAAATTTCCTTTATCAGCATGTCTTCCACAGTAAAGTTGAACACAAGGAAGATAAAGCTTAATGTAAGAATGTCCAATGAATGAACCAGCAAGCTTAAAATAAACTGAATCAGTAAAATTATAAAACCCAGAAATATCTGTAGAAGTATTTACAGAAGAAGAAGGCAAACCTAAGCTATCATTACTAGAATATAAGGCAGGAAACAAAGGTGCACTAACATGCACAGGGAGAACAAGAGGTAGATTGGGCACTAAAGCCCAAATGTGTAGCAATATTGTCACTCAGGGGATGATCTTGTTCCTTGATGTAATCCACTTGTCACAACAGTCTCTCTGGCAGTCATCGGGCAGCATCTTCAACCTGCAAAAAAACACAAACATATCCTCATCCCGAAATCAAAATGGGGTCAGGTCCATGCCATGTATATTGTTCAAGGGGTATCTCCATTTAACCATGTCATAATGGCGTGCTGTTTCAGGGTGCCAAAAACATTCAGCCACAGATTAGCCATGTTTGTCCAAGGTTAAAAAATTCAAAATAAAAAGTACATGATTTAATTGAGCTCTGGATGAAAGAGGAGGACATCATTCCCCCTTTTTTGTCTTTTGTAAATACATTTTAATGGTGGCATAGGCATGTTCAACCATGCCTTGGCCCATAGGATTATAAGGAATACCTGTTACATGCTTAATATTTAATTTTTTACAAAAAAAAAAAATTGAAAGGGCTTGCTGGTATAAGCTGGCCCATTGTTAGTTTTAATTTGATGTGGCTCACCAAGAACAACAAAGGCAGCCAAACAATGATCTATGACGTGGCATGCAGCTTCTCCAGAATGCAAGGTAGCAAAAATAAATCCTGTACAGGTATCAATAATTACATGAATAAATTTTAATTTCCCAAATTCCATAAAATGGGTCATATCTATCTGCCATAGCTGACATGGGTTCAGCCCATG